GAACAAATGTAAGAGTGCACAAGCCTAGATTTTCATGGACGAAGTTTTGCATCACCCCTGGGTACCAATTTACAATATCACGACAGCTACCCTGTCCATGGGGTACATAATAATTTGGATATATCAACAAAGTTGAAATGGTAAATTGACCACCGTAATGATTACAAAAGCTGACGTTTCGAGCGTTAGCCCTTCGTCGGAGTGAATAGAGGAATTGTGGGTTGTGTGTGTTTTTAAAGGCAGAAAATGGAGCTACGTTATTGGTGGGAGCATGGCAACGAGAAAAACAAGAATAAATTAGTGGAATGAAAAGCGTTCGTTGATCCCTGTGGGATTACCATGGCTCCACGCTGGCCATGGGAATGGGCATCTACAATTCCAATGGCTTCTGTCTCCCAAATTAGAACTGCCACAGTGCGGAGGCTAGAGATCATAACAGCCACTTGCTTCTGTTGCCGGCTTGCCCTTGTTTGCAAAGTGGTGATGAGAAGTGAAAAATCTCCTGATCGCAAATCAAACCCAATGGCTTGATCATAACTTGAAATATGAAGATCATATCCACAGCTCTCCACAGTATCTTCTATGTCAAGATTTCTAGCCTCTCCATAAAACAGCAGATCATGCGGGGCATATCCTTCGAACTTTGCCTGAACCAGTACTTCAAACCACTGACTTGGTAGGGTGCTTGCAGTTAATTCTGGCAGACCATGTTTGCCAAACTGAAAGCCAAACAGCGAAGCAATAAGGGTACATGCATTACTTCCTTGACGGCCACCAACAGTTGACTGGTTAAGGTTACCAGAAAGGGAAAACTGCTTTAAACCAGTGATGCCAAAAGGATCGTACACCAGGCGAACTGAGTGAGATGATCTTGATCCAGAATTACCACTTGTACTTATGAGTGACCCTGATACAAGGATTACATCATCCCTGTAACCACGCTCAGAGTTGCTGTTGGCAATAACTTCTCTTGCAACTATGATTCTTCCTCTGAATGACCCATAATTGCTGGCATAGAGGTTACCGCCAGCAGCAAATTTGAGCACACTAAATACAGACTCAATGGAGCTGCCATTTACTCCCAGGGGGCTGACAAAATAGTCTGGATATTCTGTATTAAACCACCTGCAGAACTCCAGGAAGCCATAAACCATCATCCTTAGCAAGTCCTATATCTGACAAGGAAAACAACATTTTATCTGTCACTTCTGTGTAAATTATAATTCTATCAGAAAGAAATCATTTTCACACCAGAAACCATAAATATCACTGTTTTACTATTACCTGGTCAACTAAATGATTTGGTATTTGTGCATGCGTAATCACTTTCACTTAAACACTTAAGTCAATTAAAATAAAGATCATAACATTAATTAGACATTGTACCTGCCATGCCAAGAACTTTCTTTGTCTGGCTTTCTTGCTGTTGTCCGGATACTCTGCAGGCAAAAAGTGTGCTTGAATAAATGTTTAGTGCATATGTTACAGATAAAATTTGATTTTCGGATAGGTAATTTTGATTTAACCTATTGACTCTCAATTTCCTTTGTTTCCTTGCCCTACAGCTGTAATTCATGAATAATTAGGGGTAGGAGACAAAGTAAATGGATAATCAACCATAACATTAAAAGAATTTAACCTGAACTCAAATTTAACCTGTAACACATGCAAAGTAAATATGCTTGCCCAACAGATCGAGTGGTACAAGGGAGATGCATTTATCTTCGAACTAAAGTGAGCAATTGAGGGACATTATTAACTTCATAGCAAAGAAATAAAAGTATTTTATGGTCCAAAAACAGAAAAATATTCTGCAACCACTTTAATTACTCAGTCCCAACACTTGTTAGTATTTGAACACTAACACTATATATAACACTAACTTATTAGCCAATTAGCCACTTTCCTCACCAGTGTTTTGATGACATGTATGCCATTCTTTGAAGACCTGGAAGCCTTTCTCAATATTCTGCACAACACGTTGGTATCTCGGGGTAACAGTCATATGACTCAGTTTCCCTTTCTCGAAAATGAGATGGCAAGCCTCCAAGTAGTTGCCAGTCATCTCAATCTCGGATGCATCAGCAGGGGGTGGGTCTATCCTCACACGTTCTTGTAGAGCACTGATCATGTATCGTTGCTGCAGGAATGGCAATAGACAGATACTTAGACACATTGCTCAGAAAAGAATGGATGCCAACTTATTGATACATACACTTATTTTTTTGAACCCTTTCACCTGATATGCACAAACAAAGAAAAAGGCTGTTGTCAATACACTTCTTAAAGCATTGGTGGAGAGGATTTCTTAATCTCGTCACTTGGTCCTGACTTAATATAAGCATACTAAACTAGCGTGTACTGTGTGTATTTATATTGTATTTAAATTTAATTATTGAGAAAAAAAAGGTAGACTAGATACATACTTGCATAATTTGTGCAAGAAGTACATTCAAACGAGTCCAGCTATCTCGGTGAACAAAGCTATACCTAAGCCCTGGCACTCGTCTTCCTAGGTTCTGCTGAACTCTTTCCTGGTCACATTCATATTGATATATGATGGAAAGCCAACCAAAATCAATACCATCCCTTCGGAATGATTTTGAACCACTTGGTCTACAACTGTACAATGCAGCAATGTTGCTTTTAAGCTGAAATAGTTAATTAAAAAAAGGATTTTTAATAAACTATTTGTAACATTTTTCATTCATCAAACTACATCATTTTAATCAAATTAGGTAATAATGGAGTCACGGTGCAAATATATAAAAATTTGTATACAGATCATTTTCTTTCAATGAGATTGCATCACTCTGTAGCATGACACATTTTTACCAAGTAGTCACTCTTTTAGTAAATCTGAGAAAGTTTCACACAGGGGACTGGAGGCGATGAAGTTCAACCGTTGGTATTTCAATAACATAGGGCCTTTTCCAAAACTAATGATTGTCTCTTATTCATTCAATCAATAATATAACGAAATTGAAAAACAATCTCAATATTAAGATTCAATGTTATAAACCTGGTGTGATGCGCAAATGACAACAAACACTCTCTTATCTTCGCTGTCTTCATATGGATTATCAAAGAATGCTGACACAGAAAATGGGTCATCACCATTTGCAAGGGGGAGTTGCTCGTGTTTGTAGCCACAAAGAAGTTTGATCAGGGCAAGATTTGATGATGCTCCATCACACACCAGTATGCGTAAATGGAAATCATACAATGTGAAGGCCTGGATTGTCCTCATAACACATTCAACAAGAAATTTGTGGTCCCATGAGTTCACACAAGTGAAATAAGGACCAATAACATGAAACTTTGACATTAAATCTCTCCACAAAAATTGAAGGATATATGAGGTTTTCTGTTGATCTTAATCCCCTCCAACACTCATATACACATCATGTAGCCAAGGTAATTCCTCTAGACTCGTAGCATAGCCCCTAATGGTCCCATTCATTGAATTCCAAACAATCTTTGACTGCACCTGTGTTTCAAGTAAAGTAAATGCTTCCAGGTAAAATCAATTAAATTAATTATTGCAACGTTGCTTCTAATTGAAGTAACTGTTAAATTGCTTGCACTAAAGATGATTGCACTAAAGTAATGACTTAATTTTTGGTTCTGTCCTGTGTTTAACTTTTGTCAATTTGGACATCCAGAAATTCATAGCTTTAAAGTGCACCTACACCCAAAAAATTTTTTTCGCTTAACGAAGTAAGCTTATTTTTTTGAGTATTTCTGCGCAAAAATTTTTTTATTTGCTCAAATCTTCAATTTTCTATGCCCAGTCAAAATACGGAAAATCGGCCGCCATCTTGCCCCACGAC